TAGCGCCACACTTTGACCTACAATTTAAATTCTGTCTGCACAACCGAGCAATCGGATAGTCTGATTCTAATATAGCCGCATATACATGGTCCATGATTGCTGGTAACACTGCACTCTTTATACAGCACAAATGTAAGTGCTTATAGACGTGTTTCGGCTTGTTTCAAATGTCTGGAGGTATCATTGTGTCGCGAAGACCAGCTGCAATTGTGTCTCTCATGTTAAAACCGCGATGACATCGCTTCATAGACAATGCAGGACAAGTGCAGTCATTGTATACAGCACCTCAAGGGTAGAACCCACTCTTGACTTCGCTCTCGGCATCCGTGCTTGAGCTTACATTTAATTTATTTTAATAAGTGTTAAAAGTAACAAAATACTATCAATCTAGCAATCATGGAATTCCTTACACCCTATGGCGTGTACACAGCCAGCAAACATATTGTAGACAGTACGGGGTAGGACTCTCGCGTATCTTTCGCATGCGACTTGCCTGACTTAGTTGACTAGCTGCGAGCCGGTTTTTCTCGACAGTTTCTTCCATGTTTATCAAGAGAGCGGGTAGCAATGTGTCCTGTCTGCAAAGGATGCTTTTATCTTGATTTCAGTAAAGGAGTTGGCACTACGAAAGAAGCCACCGATATCACAAACAGCTTGATGCATCATTCTAAGGCGATAGAAAGGGTCGGCTCTTCTACTCTACTTACTTTCTATTATTATTACCACCCCCACTTGTTAGTAACAACTAAGGTCTCAGCTTAGAAATGAGACCTTCTTCTTTCCTCACTCGTTGTATCGATAGCCTACTAAAGGTCTCAGCTCATCTTTCGGCCTGGCCAGCATTCTCCAAGGGAACTACTGCTGGTCCAATTCTGTCAAATGTATAGTCTGACCAGCGAAAAAATGGAAGCTTACTTGGCGGCCCTATCCATCTATTATTATGTCATCACTTACAAAACTTCCTAATGTTCTATATTCTAAGCCATGGCTTCTGTTCAGTCGACATGGCTTTATCCGATTATGGCTGCAAGTTGTACAGTTTGGGTGCACTTTTCCCATGACTCACCACGACTGGTAATTTCATGAGTGAAATCATAGGTCGACCTTGTCCCGCTTAATCCTTTAATGACCTCTCCGCCTTGGATGTTGAGACGAACATTCGGAATGGAATTGCTCTTTACGACATTGGACTCTCTCCGCGCTGAAAACATTGCAACTTTGCGGTTGAGATCATTTACTTTAACGACCCTTTTGCTTTGGATATTGGCACTTCCCCGCAGTAGCGTCAAAATAGTATGCGCATTTCGCTTCTAAGTTTTGCGCTTCCAGA